ATACCTCTCCGAGTATATAACGCCCCGATGCCTTGTTGGTTTCTGGTCTCATTTGGATTGGTCCTGAATTTGTTTGATATCCTGTTCGAAGTAATTCTTTGAGTTCCAGCTTGTACGTGTCTCACGTCATATAATTCCCCATTCATAAAGATAATTGGTTAAAGGGAGTAAAACATACATAAAGGTAGATTAGTATTAGTTGTACTTGATCCAAACAATAGAAAGAAGCATAGATGACTTAGTAGAAAAATAAAACTAATATATAACTAAAAGTGCAATGGATAAGTCACAGACAAACAGACATAACACTCATAAGTTGTTCATCGAACAAGCATTTAACGGTCAATTTGAAAGTATCTCAGTTGGTAGTACTGCCACCTGTGGCGCGCATAGAAAATTCTTTTGCCACCACTTTTCGATCAAATGTAAGGAACAAAAATTATTAATGATTCAAGTCACTGATGTCTTATGATTATGCTCAATCAACTGTTCAGCAGGCAACATTGGTGTTTATGGCGCGTAGAATAGAGGACAAAAATCATCACTACTATGTCACACTGCAGAACATAGTGTTGCCCACAATACAGTTGCTTAATCTTGCCATAAGATTATCAATCTCTTAAACAATTAATAACTATTTAATTTGACGTTTGGCTGAAAAACGATTTTCTGCAAAGCTGTTGCTGATAAAAATTCCCATTAGAATAGTAAAAGAATTTGTTAACAGTACAATATATATAAAGGCTAGAAGACAATGAACAAAAAGTTTTGTTTCCCATAGTAATTTCCATTTCCATTGAAGTTTATCAAATGGTTTGTGCCAACTCAGTTTCTTATCAAATGAGTTTAAACTTTCGGAGGCTAATCAGGACCCGATTTGGAACCGTTTGAACACTGTGGAGGGAAAATTTCAAATTTTGCATCAGTCTAGTGACCATGGATGTCCTTATAATTTATTATACAAATAACGTTCATGTTCATAGTTTAACAAAGAGTAACTGTCACCGATTTTACATGTATGCATGGGTAATATTAAATATTTATATGTTCGCGTATTTTGTATTAAAGTGTGTACAAATGTTAGCTTGTATTGATAGTAGGATTAGAAATTTCATTCGTTTCCGATTTCGAGGCCATGGACGTGAAAATGGAGGATGTTTAAATCTGTATAAATTCGTGTGTTATCTTTTAGAAGCTGAAATCTCTTCGAGTGAATGAAATATATATTTTTCACAACATTAACTCCTGAACTGGTGGAACTAAAACTGGCGTACCAGCTGTGATTCATTTTCGTGACAATTGTGGGTGGTAATTAAGCAAAGGGAGAGAGATTTTAATTTAAATATGCTAAGTTAAAGGTTATATATGTAGTATATCTGAAATATACTAATATAAAAAAAATCATACAAGCATTCAGTCGTTATGGCATTTTATTAGTGACAGTTACTTCGAATCACCCTGTAAAAAGAAGTATTCCTGGTGTTTTTCAATTTTCCTGGGTAATGAAGTCTGTTAAAATATGTGGCATGGCAAGAACACCGAAGCGTTCTGCACCGGAGGCACTTTGGCCTAAGAGAGTTACTCAGTAGCTGCATAGCAGCATTATTGCAAAAAGTGGGATACTCAATGAATAAGTAAGATTTGCCTCGCTTTTCCAGGAAGTACTGCTTGAGTATTACAAAAATCGACGAAAATTGTACTCAGTCGTCGAGATGTGTATTAATAGACGAATAAAAATTTCATTGGCCAATCATCGTGCTTCCAAAATTTGAGCTCAGAGAGAGAGAGAGAGAGAGAGAGAGAGAGGGAGAGAGGGAGAGAGAGAGAGAGAGAGAGAGAGAGAGAGAGAGAGAGAGAGAGAGAGAGAGAGAGAGAGAGAGAGAGCGATGAATATATGTGTGTATATATATATATATATATATATATGTGTATATATATTTATAGAGAAAGAGAGAGGTAGAGAGAGAGAGAGAGAGAGAGAGAGAGAGAGAGAGAGAGAGAGAGAGAGAGAGAGAGAGAGAGAGAGAGAGAGAGAGAGAGAGAGAGAGAGAGAGAGAGAGAGAGAGAGAGAGAGAGAGAGAGAGAGAGAGAGAGAGAGATGATGTAGGAGTTTTTGAAAAGCCGGCAGAAAGTAGTCGACTGTCCACAAGTTTGGCTCGGAAAGGACAAAAAATTAAAAACGAAAAACGAAAAAGAAGTGGAAAAGTGGTTCCACAATATAGTGCTTGTCCACCTCAGGCCGATAGAATGTTTTGGAAAGGACAAAGTCAACGCCTCGGTTCAACCCCTCCAGACCTTCGACGAGTGTTCATGTGATTGCCCTACTGTGCTTGAATTCACCCAAGCCACATATCAGGAATCGAAGCTTAAAGAAGCCGTGTGGAAATTTGTGCCGAGGAAAATCCCACCTCTGATGATTCCCGAGTTAAGAGCTTCATATAATCGGACAAGGATAAACCCCTCTTTTAATACCCATAAACGAAGACGGCAACCGGAGTTCCCACGTGGGCTTTATTTTCGATCCAGGATCGGCGAGTCCCGCGCTGGTTACTAGTGAGTATCCGCCATTACTAGTACACACGCAACGGGCTTGCAGTACCCAAATCTGTGGTGGTGAGGGTCTGGTATGCCCAAAATCCAAGGTGCTACTGCCCGGTCTGCGAGCGATCGATCATTCGGACACCACGCCGGCTGAGAGACTTTGTCGAGCTACTGATCTGCATGACGGCGTCAGGCACATCTGGAAGAATTTGAAGATGCACCCATTTCGATCATGGAGACCAGGATAAAGGGTGCCGGTTGGAGCAGCTGCCAACAATCTCTACTGAGGGAACCATGCTACAAACTTTTTCTCTCTCCCTCTATACATGGGCCCCACCGTTCCCTGATCAGTTGTACCGAAACCCCCCCCCCTTCTTCCCTTTATTGATGTATCTTTAAAAAAAAAATATAATTATGAATAAGTCTATTTTCTGCGTTTGTGCCAATTTTTCTATACGAAAGATCGTCTTGGTGATCGTGTTGTTCCGCCTTTCTTTTGTTTATTTGTTGTATGTGTGGTGTCCTCGCGAAGCAAGTGTGTGTAGCCGACCCTGAGAATAAACCCATAGCTCTGAGCTAGCCAATGAATGAACCGTTGCATACCTTTTGGCGTTATCCCCATATGTCATCCAGGACCGAGCGTCTAAATACGATCAGGGGTTGAAACAGTTGACGTTTTTTACTACACTCACTTCGTTGTCGTGCGCGACAGTCTGTTTGTATTCGCACACTCATGCTCTACCGTCGTCTCTCTCACACAACACGAGCGGTAGAATAACATTCGAGCTAAAAGAAAATTATCAAAATAGCTATCATATAACATGTGTGATTTCGTTGTAATTCCTCCATTTGGTGTAAATCAAACCATTTCTGATCAGAAATATTATTACTAGGATATCAGTGCTTGCTATTTTCAGAATTCACACAAGCACACCATCAGCAGCTCTTATTATGAGAAAAACTAAAATAAATACATTCGTGACGGTCTTCGGCGACAGTGTCGTATGACAGAGCCTTTCATACGACATTTTAGTTTGGTACTGTACTATGATAGCTTGTTTTGCAAGTGTCGGAGGCAAAGACAGTCAATTATCACAGAAAATGTGTCGACTACCGTGACCGCTCACAAGACTGAATACGATCCAATTATTGAACATTCATGTTTTCCTTTGAATTTTACATTGTTGATGGATATATGTTTGATAAAATAATAATGAATATTTTCCTGTAAAGATTACTAAACATAATTCAATTTTAAACTAGCATTATCTTATTTTGCAACTGAAGATTAGAAGCTGAAAAGTTAAGAAAAATGAAATCATATGTAAAATGCCAATAATATTTAAAACAAGTTTAATCACAACATTTCCAATACTGAATATCAAAAGAACATTTTTTATCAATCGGCAATTGATAATTGTGACATGTTAATGTTGTTGATCGGTACATGTTATGGTCATGGATAAATGCAGTACAGTAAACAATGTAAAGTGTGCAATAATTAACAACTTACCCTAATGTTATTTGAGTCGTATACAAAATGTATCAGCAGTAAGAATCAATGCTGCAGATTCGATGCAAATTATCTGTCATTTGAAATGTTTTCATTTCTACAATAGACCCTCCTGTGAAACTATCATAAACACTGGTAAAAGCCCAATGTCGAACCGGTGTGCGATTGATTATAATTATTCTTAGAAACTATTTTACTGAAATTATAATCAAACATTTCATACACTTCATTAAATAGTCTGCAACATCTATCAAGCGGATTGTTATATCCGTAAGTAAAACGGTGCCCGGGAGTTCTCAAAAAGTGAAAATTGTGGAGATGGCATATGGAAGCGTGGATATTGATGTTCAGTAGCGCACTACTGCCGTCGATATGATTACCAATCATGTCAAATATTAGTAACCAGTGCAAGAAACTACGACGGATCATCAAAGTTTGAAGCCCAATGAGCGCGCGTCTACCAATGGTGTAGCTTTTCAGGATTGGTCAGCCGCGATAATGCAACTCCAATAGAGCGTTTTTGTATTCTCTCGATGCGCGATACATGAGCAGCATGATACGGTGCCGACATTTTCACTCCATATTTAAGTACGCTACGATCCAGAGAGTACAACTTAAATATATTCCAAATATGTTCTCTCTAGAAAATAAATTTAGTCGGAACTAACGAACAAATAACATTTGAATAAACATTTCTTTATTACACAATCTGAAACATGCTTCTTCTACCATGTGAAATGAAGAACATAAAACCATCAAGTACTTCACAATATAACGCACTATATTCCATTACGAATCAAGCATTTGAATGCACACATCGAAGAGTTCGTTTTTATCTCTATACTATTATAATGTATATTTATCCTTATCGCCCAAATTCTGTCTGTTAATAAACGGTTTAATATATACGAAGGAAACTGATAAAAATCGTTTAGTCAACGAAAGGTTTCGAACGTTGTTGGAACAGTTTGATTTCTGATACATGTTCGTCGTGTGGCAGTAGAAACCGAACCTTTCTCGCAATCGGTAAAACACATTGGTGAATTTCGAATTACAAATTTATCAAATCGATAGGACTGCAGTGATTGATATTGTTGTGATTAGTTATAGAATTCCAGTGGATAATTGATACGAAACAGTATTGTGTCGTGCTAAAAAACTGTGCAATTATCATATTAATTTTTGAGCCGTGCCACGGCCAAGCAGTGATCGATGAGAATGGGATCTTCAAAGAGGAAATCATCGTTTCGGATCGATGATATCCTGCATCAGCAAGCTGAACAACAGCAGATGATTTTTCAGCATCAACAGCAGCTTGTTCAAAACAGTGTACTGAAGCAGCTGACGGACATGACTACTGCACAGCCCAGTTCTTCAACGCCTTCTTCGACGTCAACCGAATATTGTAACAATGGGCCCAGGTCACCACCAGGATCACCAGCATCAGAGCATCCTGGCCGGGAATCACCAAAGAAGCCTACTGCAATGTACCCGAATCTTTTAGAATTTCAGAAAAACAACTTTCCCCTGCATATGCAATTTGGAATGCCTACCTTCAACCCAGCACTAAATCCAGCACTAAACGCTGCCTATTTGGAACACTACGCAAGCATGTTACACAAAGGTGAGTCAAGTCAGAAAATTATTATTATTATTATTATTATTATTACTATTCATTTCATTGGAAACATCTAAAAATAAAAATGATGCATTTGACTCCGAAAAAAACCTATCACTGGATTAGCTTATCTACGAACCGGGTCAGAAGATATCCTCGTGCTCGCAATAATTGTTCGAATTCCTTTGATTGCAAAACTTCTCGAGGAGAGGCTTGATAATCGTACCATAATCACAGTTGAACAAAACGGCCATGATGGGCCGTAAATTGGCATCACCACCAGTAAACCTGTGGATCCCACATAAAAGCACATTAAAAAAAAAACGAACACAGCCCCACCTACTTAATCCTGCCAACGCAATATCGATTCCAACTAACAACCTAATTCGAAGGCAATGTTTCTTTGAACGTACCTCCGGTCAAAGGGAGCCGCCAACCAAAATAAGCCGTAATCTTTCAACAGCGAGATTTATGAACACCGCGTTGCCACCTCATATCAAACTGATTCGATGGCGTTGATTTACAATCAACGAGCGGCAATTGTGATGTTTTTTTCACTTTCCGCCTGATTGTTGACTTCTGTTTGCCTTTGATAAGTTCAAAGTACCATAACTACCTGGTACCACTCGATGATGCATATACCCTCCTTCAATGCTTACGTCAAACCATATCGAATAAGCCGTAATGAGTACGTGAGGATTTTTATTTGGTAAAATTTTGAGTTGTTCAAATTGATGAAATTAGGCAAGGTAAATAATTTAAGCTGAGGATATTATAAAATCTGACAGACGGTGCTAATTTTTCGCTTAATTGACAATACATAGGGTATGCAAGCACAATAAACAGCCAACTATTACAATATTATTCAAATCTCAACAATTAATTGACCTACATATGTTAACATAAGCTTATCACTTCTTCATAAGCTTATAACATCTCTGATCACGCCTTCCTTCGGAAGGGAAGTAAAGCCGTTGGTCCCCGGATCATGAGTTGATGGGTCGATAGCTAGGGTCCAGGTGTGGGAGCTGCCTCCCTGGCGTCGGTAGCATTGGTGCTCAGCACGGAAAACAAGATCGACGGAAAACAAACCATAGGAAAAAATATGAAAAATGTCAAGACGAGTGAGTTATAATATCAGCCTAAAATTCATATTTTACACACCTAGAACTTACAGTAGCGTTCCGTTTTTAGCATCAAACGCTTCCGTGTTTGGCATCTACATATCATACATAATGAAGACACTAGAAAGTTCAATTCCTCATTAATAAAGCAGGAACTTGATCGTTGTTTCACAACACTGCGTGTGTTACACAAATATTGAGCTTATCGTGAAATTGAATCAAAAATCTAAACCTTAGCATAAGGTGAAATTTATATTACCTTAGACGCATCAAGCCCGCCGATGCAAAAAGTGCAATATAATGCTGATATTAGACTAATATAAAGATTGATAGCCGTATATCAACCTTATAATGAAAAAAGGGCCGAGCTATTATCGAGCGTGGTGGCTTATTGGATATATCTCGGATAAATAAGGATACATAATTTTAGTTTTATCTAGCTAGTAGGAATTTAATTTTGTCGGTCCTGACTTCTGCGCGTAGTATTGGCACAATCTACGCAACATTGAATACAAATGTTGTAGGTCCTAGATTGATGGTATGAATGGGCTTAAATAAAGGAGGGGGGGGGGAGTTAGTCCACCCCAGAGAATTTAAGAAATAAATACCGAAGCAATCTATTTCTTCATTGCATGGAGGAATTGTGATATTTTTCCAGATTATCTAAAATAACAACTGAAGTGCGGTAAAAATCGGTAGAACTGTTGTTTCAAACACATCGTTGGTACTTGAGTTGGTCGGCGTTCATCTCTTTTTGCCAGTGTTGGTGGGGGGGGACACACCCCTCCAAAGGGGGAGTTTGGCAAAGAGAGATGAAAAACCCGATTTGTACCTTCCTTAAAATTTGTCCTAGCTCGCTATCTACTTTCTATATGCAATTTTCACACTGACGTACTCTAACGGAACTATCAACTCTAGACTTTCATCTCCTCCATCTATTGTATAAAAATTACCACTTTAGTCTGTTATTTGAAATTAGCATCTTCACCTATGTGTTGCGAGAGGCAACAGGTGGACAGGGATTTCTTCCGTAAATTTAATATCAGAACCCAGAATTTAGGAGTTCGTAGAGATATTATAATTTTCCTGTAAATAGGTTACATAGTTTGTTATAAGGTAGTTTGTCTATATCTATAAGTGTGTTCGATATTAATTTTATTGTATGTATGTGGTCGGTATCGGTGTAAGCTTTAGCTGTTAGTGTTTTACTCACGTTTAGTCCCCTTTCTGTAGTTGTTTTATTTTATCTGTTTTGAGAGTACTGGCTGCAAGCTGTAATATTTGTATTGTTTAGATTTAGAAGAAATTCTTTTATTTATTTCCTTACCGCGATTCCAACTTTGTAGGCTAGTTTTTAGGTTAGATAGTAGCACTATTTAGCAGTAGTACCCTAAAAGCTATTAATTTAGGTTTAGGATAGTTATAGGTTCGATTAAATTTAATTATACTCACTAGATTAGGTAGTAATGTAAGTTCAAATAATAGTAATATTGATAACTTTTAAATCAAACTATATATAATTTAGTATTAAGCAAAACTTTTACACCGCACGGCTTTGTGTACTTTCTTGGCTTTATAGTCTTTGTTTTCCTCATCTGACACTTACCCCGATCGATGATAGACCTACCAAATTCTCGTTGTCATTTAGCCGTCACAGGCGATCGCATGCCAGGGTTGCTTTCGCTCGATCAAACGAGGGGCCTGCTGGATTGTGGAGATGCGCAGCCAACTAGGGATGGCCAACACTCCCCCCAGGTAAGCCGGACGTCTGGTCGGCTTGCTCCTCTCCGCGTCGAACATCCAGGACCGCCAGTTTGGCCACAGGGCGATCGTATATGCCGGTCGATGTCCTTACTGTAGCTGACCTGATTCGACCATCTTTGCCTGGTTGCGTTGCGATGACTCTACCTTTCGGCCAAGAATTCCGGGGCAGGTTGGAGTCCACGATGATCACCACGTCGCCTCGGTCAATCGGCTTCGAATCGACGAACCATTTCGTCCGTCTTGTAATGTCCGGGAGATAGTCCAATAGCCAGCGCTTCCAAAATTGATTGGCCAGCGCTTGTGATGTACGCCAGTTTTGTTTGAGAAGGGCGCCACTGTCATCCAGCGAGGTAAACGGTTTCGAGCCATCCGACGACCCCAGAAGAAAGTGGTTCGGTGTGAGTGCAGGTGACGACTCGTTATCGATAGGCACGTGAGTGAGTGGTCGGGAGTTCAGCGTGCTTTCAACTTCCGTGAGTAGGCTCCTCAGCACTTCTTCGGATGGCTTCCTTGAAGGGCAGATGGCCATCAGATTTTTCTTCAGGCTCCGGATTAGCCGCTCCCAACTGCCACCCATATGGGGAGCCAGAGGTGGGTTGAAGGTCCAGCTCGTCTCCGTGGTTACGAATTCCTTCATAACCTGTTCGTAGTCGACTGCTTCTTGCAGGTTCTTGAGTTCACGGCTGGCGCCAATGAAATTGGTACCCCGGTCGCTCCGAATAGTCCTTGGAGTTCCGCGTCGGCCCATGAAACTTCTAAGAGCAATTATACATGAGCTGGTGCTTAGCGAGTTGGCCAACTCTATATGGATCGCCCGTGTCGTAAGACAGGTGACGATCATTCCCCATCTTTTCTCCGTTCTTCTTCCGATAACAACTTCCATGGGACCGAAGTAGTCAACGCCGACATGAGTGAAAGGGCGTGTGAAAGCAGCTAGCCGTTCCGCTGGGAGGTCCGCCATGATTGGAGGTTGTGGAATCGAGGACTCGTTTTTGCATCGCTGGCAGCCCTTCCTTGTCGCCGCATACTTAACGCGAATGCGAGGAATGACGTACTTTTGACGAAGTTCGTTCACTATGGCTTCGTGGTTTTGATGGTGGAATTTTTCGTGGTAGTGGGCGATTAACAGGGAGGTAACAGGGTGGTCGTTAGGAAGGATCACTGGGTTCTTCGTTTCTTCGGTGGCATACTGGCAGGCGGCTATTCTACTCCGCATTCGCATTACCCTGCGATCGTCTAACCAGGGTGTCAGCTTGTATAAACGGCTGCTTTTAGGAAGGGTTCTATCTGGTGTATCACTGCGGTTGTTCAAGAAGAAGGCTACTTCATCGGCATAACCTTCTAGTTGAGCTAGGCGAAACAGAAAACCTTCAGCAGCATACAGTTCGTCTCTAGATAGCGGTCCATTTTCAGCTGGCTTGTTTGTACTCCTTCGACGGCAGTTTCCGACAAAACGGTGAACGTAAGCAACCACATTGATGAGCTTCTTCCAGCTAGAGAACTTCGAGACGATAATCATAGGATCGGACAAGGAGAGATGTGCCACGAAGGAGGGTCGTAACTCGTTGTCTGTAGGATCTGACTTCGACGAGACTTTCGGCCAATCCGATTCGCTACGGTAGAGAAAATCGGGACCTCTGAACCACCTGGATTCGGGAGTAAGATCAGGTTGTGTATCCCACTTGGTACCATCATCTGCAACGTTTAGTTTTGTCGGTACCCAAAACCAATCTTCCGCTTCTGTAACGTCGAGTATTTCACTTACACGATGTGCCACGTACGTGCTGTATCGTCGATGATCCGAATTGATCCAGCTGAGCACATCACGAGAGTCGGTCCAGAAGAATTCATGATGTATCGTAGTCTGAAGGGTTTGCGTAACCGACCTTGCTAATCTTGCTCCTATGAGAGCTGCTTGCAGTTCCAGTCGTGGGATGGAGTGGAACTTCAGGGGGGCCACCCTTGTCTTGGCTGCAACTAAAGAGCAGCATACGACGCCATTGTGTTCGAAACGGAGGAACATGGCGGCGGCTATACCGTTTTCGCTGGCGTCTACGAACATATGTAGCTGTACTTTACAGTCACTGGGGATCATCGAAGATCGAAGACACCGTGGTATTCTGACGCTTTCCACCTGCGGCAACACTTTCAACCATCTGGCCCACTTCTCGTACAAGGAATCGCCGATTTCTTCGTCCCATTGAACTCCGGCACGCCACACTTCTTGAAGAAGAATTTTCAAGAACATCAGGAAGTGAGAAATCAGTCCAAGGGGGTCGAAGATAGTCATGAGGACTTGGAGCATCTGACGTTTTGTGGGTCGACAACGACCGGTGAGCAGATCGGGATTGTAGCGATTCCATCCGATTTTGTATACGAATTCGTCGGCTGTTGTGCACCACCACATCCCTAGCACTTTCTCGGTAGCCATCGGTCCCATCGACATATCCATGTTCTTCTCCGTAGTACTGCTTTCGCTCAGCGCGTTTAACACCTGGCGTGAGTTGCTCACCCAGTTGCGTATTTCGAAGCCACCTGCAGAATGTACTTGCCGAACCTCTTGCGCAAGGCGAATGGCATGCTCAGGCGTCTCGGTGCTAAACATCGCATCGTCCACGTAATGCCGCTTCTTTATGACATCAGCTGCCTCAGGAAACTCTCCAGCAAACCGGTCCGCGTTAATATTTTTTACATACTGGGCACTAGCTGGGGAGCAGCTAGCGCCGAATGACATTACATTCATTACGTAGACCTGGATTTTGCCAGTCTTGTCCGTCCAGAAGAACCGCAGACACTGTTGATCTTCCAACCGCATAAAGATCTGGTGAAACATTTCCCGTATGTCCCCAGTGACGCCAACCCGGTATTCACGGAATTGCAACAATATTGCAAAGAGTGAACACAGCTGATCGGGACCTGTTAGCAGCGCAGAGTTCAGGGAAACGCCAAATACTTTTGCAGCTCCGTCCCACACAATCCTTATTTTGCCAGGTTTATTGGGGTTAAAAACTGGAAAGATTGGCAGATACCATACTTTTGGGTAGTGTTTGTTTAACTCTTCATCTGACAGTTGGCGAACATATCCCTTAGCCAGATAATCAGACATCTTCTCATTCAGAGCACTGGCTAACTCCGGATCCTTCTGCATTCGCTTCTCGAGGCCGTAGTGTCGACGTAATGCCATTTCTTTACTATCTGGCAGACGAACACCATCATAGCGCCATAGTAGTCCAGTCTCATACCGGTTACCTTTGAGCTTGGTTAGAGATCGGAGAAGTGAGACGGCTCGTTGATCGTCTGTTGACAGCAGATCTTTGCTCGTTTTCATGATGCCTAGACTGTCCATCGAAAAGTATTCCTTTACCATTTGATGTACGTCTTCGTCGGATTGATGGCTGCACTCGCAAGCGTGGAACGTATAGTGGACAAAGTTTGAGGTATTACTAGTATCACATCCCCCGCATATTGTCCAGCCAAGTCTGGTTTTGACGGCTATAGGTTGTTCCAAACTTCCCTCCTTACTTTTCAGCACCAGGCCAACTGAAGCGTGCTTCAGGCCGATGAGGATTTGTGGACGAACGTTCGTATAGGATCCGATCGGCAAATTTCGACAGTGTGGGTACTGTTGCGCAATTTCCTCCATTTTAAGGGATTGGCATGGTAGTAACAACTCTTTCACCGTTCGAACTCCATTTAGTTGGTACTCCTTAGCGTGGTTCTGCGTACCAGTTATTTTCAGATCCACTACGCGTGAGCTCTTCTCGTTGCGCTCAGTACCACCTGTCCATCGAAGGCAGAGCGGGTTGATAGGGCCATTTAGCTTCAGTTGGTCAGCTAGATCTTGGTCCAACAAAGTCACAGCTGAGCCCTCGTCGAGGAAGGCGTAAGTTTGGACAGCTTCACCGTTTCCGTACAGAGTAACGGGAAGATAGCGGAACAGTACGGCATTTGCAGCGGACTGGTGGGTGTTACATCCATGTGCTGCGCTGGGTCCAGCTTGTGGGGCTGCGGGTGGTGCTGTAGTTGCCGGGTGGCTCGATGCAGGGTGTTGGGATCTGTTGTCGTTATGGAGTAGCTCGTGGTGATAGAACGCACAACCATTTCTTCCACATGGCTTCGTGTCACATCTCCCTTCGTGGCGGCGGAGACAGCGGCGGCATAGTCCAAACTCCCTTACAGCAGCCCACTTGGAATCTCGAGAGAGTTGAAGGAAACGTTTACAGATCGATGCAGACTTGCATCTTCCATCACATACGGGGCAGCTATCGACGCCTGGTGTTGTCTTTTTAGAGCTATCACCGTCAGATTTGTCCTTCGAAGATTTCGGAGAGTTCCCTGTATAGCATTCGGAGTGAGTGTGCAGGAAAGTGCTGGTCTTCTTTGACGAATTGGTTGCGATTTTCGTTGGACAGCTTGGCTGTACTATGGCTGGTATCGTTAAAACACTCGCAGCCTCGGCGAGCGAGAATATCCATTCACCAAATGTTGCTAGGTTTACCCTTGGAAGTTGTAAGCGATATCGGGCCCATTCCAGCTTCAGGGTAGGTGGTAGCTTGATTACTAACTGGTGGAGGAGGGATACATTATACAAATAGTCATCTAATCCACATGCATCTACGGTTGCACAAAAGTTCTGCACCTTGACCGCAAGATCCACTAATGCCTCCAGTTTATCCTCCTTGATCGTTGGAATTGCGTTTATTTTCACGATCAATGAATGAATGATCGCTTCAGGCTGACCATACAGTACTCTTAACGTGTTCATTACACTTGACACGTTCGTTGGGTGCATCAAGCAGCTTTTAACAGCTTCGTACGCCTTTCCCTTGAGGCATTTCTGCAAGCGGATCATGTTTTCCTCGTTTGAGTATCCACACATAGCGGTGGATCTCTCAAACGTTGAAAAGAATATCGGCCAATCCTCAGGGTTCCCAGAGAAAGGAGGGAGATCCTTAGATACAGCTTGTCGAGCAGCGAGTTGGCTATGCGAAGGAGGACAAGTATTGTACCAAGTATTTCGTTGAGTTCGATTAACCGAAGCAGCGGAAGACGTATGCTGTATTCCCGTGGGGAGGAGATTGGGGGCTACCCTGGAAGAACTTCTGACACCACACAGCGGAGAACTGTTTGGGTTTCTCGGACCTGATCGACTAGTGATCAATTGACGTTGGTCTGCATATGGTTCAGAATGTTCTGGTGCACTGATGTTGTGATCTACCCGATTGTGTCCTGCAAGAACTAACCGACGGTTTCCGCCTGCTGGGTTCGGATGAGCGGTGGAGTGTCCATCAGGATTAAATGGTTCTGTTGCACCTCCAGCTACGTTTCCGTCAGCCACCTGGTCGTTTATTTCTTCGACCCACTTTCTCACCCGGCTGCTAGATTCGCTGTGGTTCGAGCTTGTCCGGTCTGTCATTTGCTCTAACAGCTCGTACTTATCCTTCAGATAATCACGGAATTTATCGGCTTGCGCTTCTTCGAAGGCTCGTTCCTCCTCCAACTTCAGTAGCTGCAACTTCAGTCGTGATTGTGATGACACCTTGGAAGATGCTGGCCTTTGGATGGATTCCTTCGTCTTCACTGAATGCGCTTCCTCACTGGCAGGTGCTACTACCACCTTTGGCACCATGTTACGTTGCTCCTGCTGGCTGTTTCGATCCACAGAAGATGGTTTGGAGCTTCTCGTCCGTTCTTCGATGACACTAACCTTAGAGCTGACATGTCCTTCTCGATGATTCGATGACGAAGACTGCAGCTGAGTTTCCTTGGCAGTTTGGCACTCGTGACAAACCCAGCTCTGGTTTTCGACTTCGTTAGTAACGCCCACACACGCAAAGTGGCTCCACTTATCACACCCATCGCATTGGACCATGTCCGTCGTATCAGGATTGTCGCAGTCCTGACACGTACACGCTTGGTTACAGATCTGATCATTCTTGGACGATTTACCCCGACTACCACGATTACCACGGCCGTGCATGATTCAATTCGCTTGCGTAAACGAAAATTATAAAATGTTGCGAGAGGCAACAGGTGGACAGGGATTTCTTCCGTAAATTTAATATCAGAACCCAGAATTTAGGAGTTCGTAGAGATATTATAATTTTCCTGTAAATAGGTTACATAGTTTGTTATAAGGTAGTTTGTCTATATCTATAAGTGTGTTCGATATTAATTTTATTGTATGTATGTGGTCGGTATCGGTGTAAGCTTTAGCTGTTAGTGTTTTACTCACGTTTAGTCCCCTTTCTGTAGTTGTTTTATTTTATCTGTTTTGAGAGTACTGGCTGCAAGCTGTAATATTTGTATTGTTTAGATTTAGAAGAAATTCTTTTATTTATTTCCTTACCGCGATTCCAACTTTGTAGGCTAGTTTTTAGGTTAGATAGTAGCACTATTTAGCAGTAGTACCCTAAAAGCTATTAATTTAGGTTTAGGATAGTTATAGGTTCGATTAAATTTAATTATACTCACTAGATTAGGTAGTAATGTAAGTTCAAATAATAGTAATATTGATAACTTTTAAATCAAACTATATATAATTTAGTATTAAGCAAAACTTTTACACCGCACGGCTTTGTGTACTTTCTTGGCTTTATAGTCTTTGTTTTCCTCATCTGACACTTACCCCGATCGATGATAGACCTACCAAATTCTCGTTGTCATTTAGCCGTCACAGGCGATCGCATGCCAGGGTTGCTTTCGCTCGATCAAACGAGGGGCCTGCTGGATTGTGGAGATGCGCAGCCAACTAGGGATGGCCAACACCTATGTAAATCGTTGACTTCACGCAGAAGTGCTTAACGACGTTTCGGGGTATCATCCAAACCATTTGTGGAATAGTTATATAATTTGTTTTATCGTTCGTGTATGGCATTTTTTTATTAGGGACGTGTTAAGCTTACACTTCAAGGCTAAAACCGTGAAAAACATGTAATAATTATTTGGTAAATATTGGTCAATGGGGTCTTTGATGTCTTCGACAACATTTCTCAAAATTATAAAATACACAACTTTGCCGAAGAAACTATCCTTGTAGGACGCTCCGTTCAAAAGACAGATTCTGGTGCCTCCTACGCGACAGGAATACGAACTAATTTGAAAACACCAGCGAATCCAAACACATAAAGCAACCAACGATACAGACAAAACGGTTGCTACGACTACCATGACAAACTCGCTCTGTAACATAGCTTGATTTGAGTGGTAGAAGGATAATGATGTATTGCTTGCCTGATTTGTTGCAATATACACCGATGAGGACATAGCTTGATATGAATCGAGAAAAGACATAACAAAAAAATTCCCATTAAAACACGTGTATCATCGTCGGCTTTACTTCGTGAAGCAGCTTGCCAACAATTTGCTCGTTTCCTTCTACCGCCCCGAGTGAGTTGTGTCGCACGGACTGCTTGTCATGAAAAAGAAGGAAGAAGATTATATCATTATTGCTTTCCACTACTGACATAGCGTTATTATTCGGTTCGTTGATCGCTTGTCATTTTGTCATTTTTAGATATTTTTGATTCCTTGGAAAACACCAAAAGCTGGCTCTTTGTAAACTAATCAATGTTGTCGAAGACTGAAAATCTGCATCCTACAGATTATATCCACGGCGCTAGAGGTTGTAGCCACGCTACCGGTATCGTTGCCTCACTGCGCACCCCCGGTAGCCGCAGGGTTGAAGTTAAAAATGTCATCAAAATTTACTTTGGAAATGATTCTGGAAGACCATCGTTGGACGAAATTGTTAATTTTGTTAAAGTGCTGGACGCGTATCCCGCACGCAAACTAAGTTGCATTTTTTATCATCCTCCACAGCGAATACAGCAGAGAATGATATAAGTTGGCCATGCAGACGATACAATGATTTTTTTTTTCTTTTTTATTTCGTGTTATACACTCCACATTTTTCGGTCTCCAATTTTCTTGCATTAGACCGCAGCTCGGTATATGTCATCCTCCGTTCATGCGGTCTCCACTAACATCCTGCGATGATGAATCCACATAATTATAAGCAAATCTTACATCCCCCGGTTGGGTGTGTCGACATGGAAGCTATATACAGAATAACATAGAAGAAATCCTTGTTCGTATAATTTAAGACCGAAGAAGCGATCCTGCATACATTGCTGCATAACGCAGAGCAATTAATGTTCCATTATGATGATGGAAAGGTACGCAAGTCGAATTCGGGAGAATACGTCCAATATGTGCGAGTGTATGATGTATCACTTGAAGTTCCCGACAAAGATCTAGCGTGCCGTCCGTGAAAAATTTCAAGTAGAACTGGGCATCGGTATTTACACTAGTATACGTGGTATTTATATAGATGTGAAAAAGGAAAACCCTACATTGCTGCATTTCCGCTGCTATACTATCCGTATTCTAGCAGGGGAACAAGAACGTATGTTTTGTTTGCAAGACGGAAGGTCACCGGATAAATTCCTGCCCCAAGCGGAAACCTCGAAAGCAGCATAAGAAACAACAATTGGCTAAAGAACGAAAGGACGAAGAGAAGCACGACCAGGACGAAGATCGAAGTGATAGTAGTTTGGAAACTAGTTCGTATGCAGGTGTGGTTACTGGAGGTTCCACAACGGACACGATTGAGGTACCCGACGAAGAAGTAATGGCAATTGACGACATGACCCCGGAGATTGAAGCAAATGTAGAAGAAGAACAATCAAGGGGAAACCAGGTTCAGCTGCGTTTAGATTACCGTAAATTCCCGACCAACTTGATGGGAAAAGAGATGTTCAACCAACAATAACATATTATTGAAGAGGATCCGACGGAAGAAAGAAGAAAGCAAACTGTAAACTGTCGCCTCCCACGAAGATATAAACTCATTATGTCTCTCTTTTTTATTAGCAATTAAAAGAAATGTATTAATCGGCGTCGTAAAGCTAACGCGATTGAGCCTTCCAAATAAATAAAGGGAAGTCTGGTCCGTAAAAAATCCAATATAAATTCAATTATGATTGTAGCCATGATAATTACTGTCAAAACATTGGATATTTTTGTCGATTACCATATAATCACAACGGAATTCATGGTTCACAACCTTGTTCACAACAATGAAAATCATGGAATTTGATAAATTTACTTTAAAAAAGGGGTTTTTAAGCTTCTTAACATTAAAAAAAAACTGATTTTTCTCGAACAAATTTGATCTAATCAATTATTGTTTTAGCATTGCATCGTTGAACATCGAAATTATTTTTTTCTTTCGTAGAACAATTTAACAATCAATTTTAATGTAATCGAAATTCAACAGTTTACAGTTTTAAATGTAATTTCAGTGTCTTCTCGGATAAAAAATAAACATTAAATTACAATAAATTACAATAAAATACAATAGATTCTATTGTTGACAATTAACCCTATTGTAATTGTATTGTATAGGTCAAATGATCTAAATAGTCATCCAATAGGTTTTCAATAAATTCTATGTTATCAACATACTGAACAATAAAAAAAAAAACAATAAAATTTATTGTAATGAGATCAAATTTGTAGGGGAAAAATTGATTTTTTAATAGTTACGGTAACTAACAACCCCCCTTTTTAATAGTAAAAGTCTATTGTATATAACAATAAGTTCTAATGTATTTTTATTGCTTGTGACTATAATATTTATGGTTGCTACAATAAATGTTATTGCATTGTAACAATAGGTTCTAATGTTTTTGTATGGTAATTTTTTATTCGGCTTATTATAGTTCAGGGCATTTTGACTGCAGGACTTATGAACTAATGTAGCCATTATTATATTCATCGTTATTAAGAGAATCTAACTGCCATTCATTTTCTATAAAAAAAATATTTTTCTGAATTATGAAATCATTAGATGCTATACTATGTTTTGAACTTGTACTGCTGCGGATACACTTGTATGGCAAACTATGAACATGCGCATTATTTGTAAAATGAATTATGAGCACACCCATGGTCACACTTATATAGCTTTTGTATAGTTGTTGTATAGTTATTGTATAGTTGTTGTATAGTGCTCATAAATATTATATAAATAATGCTCATGCTCATAGTTTGTCATCCAAGCGTATTTCACTCAGTTGATGTAACATAGTTTTTCTTTACAAAATTACTGGAGTAGGATCGGAGTTCACTGTAGGTGTAGACACGCATAGAGTGGTTAAGGTGATACTCTAAGCAAGCCTTAGCGTGTAATTTCAAAAGCACAAATGTCAGCTTCCATAAAACATACAAATATGAAATTGCTTGGTTGCTGCGCTACAACAGAGATGAGTTATTTCATTATCGTACATTCTGTGGATGTTGACCTTTGTGCTTTTGAAATTCCACGCTAAAGCTTCCTCAATTTTCTCATTGAAAGTCCAAAATGAGCAGCGATTATTTCTCTTTTCGTATTTCTCTTTTCGTGAGACGCAAAAATGAGAACCGCTTTACGCCTAAATACAAATCTACTATATTTTACGTTCCTATTTATAGGAACCTCATACACTTTTTCAAAAGTGTCTTAAAGAAAAAACATGTATCGTCAAGAGGGTGCAGAGTTATTAAGAAATGACTGATTTGTGCGAAAAATTGAGCAAGCCAACCCTACCGTGCGGGACGTAAATCCGTAAAGGTTCAAAATCCGTACACCTCATACAAGTAGGTATTTTGTATGAAATGCACGGATTATTATTATTTTCTTATGTGTATAGATTTCGGTCCCCCACGGTACCTGACAATTTCGCTTTAGAGAGTCACAATTTTATGATCTGTGAATACTTACACTTTACATGGCATACAGACTCAGATGACTTGAATCTTCAAAATTCACTCATCTGGATTTTAGTATGCGGTGTAGCCTTTTTGCATTGTACTAATGGTTATGCAGGATATCTGAATATAATCTGGAGGTCGTTTGAATGTAAAACTACCTATTATGATTCTACTCAATTGTTACCTGATGGTCTTCATGAATTGCTATTATCGACAAGATTGACGGACTCCTTCCACTTCGCGTTTTCAGGGACTTGCACGTAAGATTTTACGATTTTCAGAAGAACCATGCTAAGCTATTGTCATTGAGATTTTTAACTTCGCCAAAAATATTGAACTCCTCTTAAAGAAATTTATTACTATGCTTTTTGACGCATTTATCTCTTTAGTAGGGGTCAATGTAGCTCAAAACAAAAAAATTCGTTTAGCTTGTTTCTATCCGTAATTTTTAACATACCTCCCACTCCACCCCTCATTAAACTTATCAATTGGTTTTCCATTTCATCCTCCAACCAACCCGAAAATGCTTGGAAATCGACGATAATATCATCTTTCACCCACATTTGCTTGCTGAGCAAAGTCTGATAGTTTGTTCACAGACAAACAGACGTAACGCATGTAATGTCACTCAGTCTGCTCAACATAACAATGTTTATCAATCAAAGCACATGTATTACGCTGACCTTCACATCTTATAACAAATCATGTTTGTTTCCCTTCCACTCCTGCTCTTAGTGTCACTACTTTCTTTTCAGAGTAATCACATTATTTTCTTATGTTCTACGTACTCACAGCATTTTCTTCTTAATTCGGGGCCCCGGTCTGCCATCTGCATCCTCCAATGCACGGCATCGTTGCGTTACCCCTACCGGGGAACAACTACTGAAGTCTTCCCTTCCCTACTAGGATTTCGAAGTCGGAAATAATTCACGTCCGAACCTACGCGACTACCGAAACCTTTTTCGAGTTGGAGAATATTTCTCCGTTTATTAATTAATCAATAGCT